TGTGTTTTTGTCTTGTTGACTGTGTTCTTTGCCTCAAAGAAGCTTCTCAGGTTCAGAAGGTCCCTTTTATTAATTGTCGACCTCAGTGTCTGTGCTACTGGTGTTATGTTCAGGAAGTGGTTTCCTGTACCAATTCGTTCATGGGTACCTCCCACTTTCTCCTCTAAAAGGATCAGTGTGGCTGGATTTATGTTGAGGTATTTGATCCATTTGGACTTAACTTTTATGCATGGCCATAGACATGGATCTATCTGCAGTCTTCTACATGCCAGCAGCCAGTTATTCCAGCACCATTTGCTGAAGATGCTTCCTTTTTTCCATTGTATAATTTTAGCTTCTTTGCCAAAAATCAGGTGTTTGTAGACCTGTGAGTTAATATCAGGGTTTTCAATTCTATTCCATTGGTCTACCTGTCTATTTTTTGTGCCAATACCAAGCTGTTTTCAGGATTATAGTTCTATAATAGAGCTTGAAGTCAGGGATGCTGATGCCTCTGGAAGTTCTTTTATTGTACATGGTTGTTTTGGGTATCCTGGGTCTTTTTTCCATATAAAATTAAATATTATTCTTTCAAGGTCTATGTAGAATTGTGCTAGTATTTTTATGGAGATTGCATTGAATCTGCAGATTGCTTTTGGCAAGATTGTCATTTTTACTATGCTGATCTTACCTATCCAAAGCATGAGAGATCATTCCATTTTCTGGTAACTTCTTTAATTTATTTCTCTAAAGACCCAAAGTTCTTGCAATAAAGGTCTTTCACTTGTTGGGTTAGCATTGCCCCAAGATATTTTATGATGTTTGTGGCTATTGTAAAGGGTGACGTTTCTCTGATTTCTTTCTCTGCCCACTTATCATCTGTATATAGTAGGGCTACTGATTTTTTTTAGTTCATCTTGTATCCTGCCACATTGCTGCAGGTGTTTATCACGTGTAGGAGTTTTTCGGTTCAGTTATGTAAACTATCATATCATCTGCAAATAGTGAAAATTTGACTTCTTCCTTTCCAGTTTGTATCCCCCTTGATCTCCTTTAGTTGTCTTATTGCTCTAGCTAGAACTTCAAGTACTATATTGAGATATGGAGACAGTGGACAGCCTTGTCTTTTTTCTTTGCCCAGTCTTAATACATGGAGAGGTACTTAGTTTTATTGATATGGCATGTTTTGTTCACATCCATGGGAGAGCTGCTTTTTCCTGACTGGAAATGTAGAAGGAGTGGGTTGGAGGGTGGGAACAGTGTGGGAGATAGAGGAAGAGCACTTGGAGGTGAGGAGCATGGGGAAACTGACTGGGATGTAAATAAAAGAAAGAAATATTGGAAAATCTCACAGTTACACTGTGTTTCTGGGAGTCAAAAGCCTGTTCTTCCTGCGTTGGTGATCAAACATCAGGCCTTCAAGCTCATACATTGGTAAACAAGACACATTTGTTTATAAATATTGTTCTCTAAAATACTACATAATGGAAGGGAGTAAATGAAAATAAATAGTAGTTCTCCAAAAGTGACAAATACACCAACCTGGAGAAAAGTGTTCAGTTTTGGTGCATTTCACAGTCACCAAATGGCAATAATGGACAGTGATGAAGTCTTACCTATACAAAGTCACCAAACACTCCACTTTCCCATATGCTCATGAGGGAACCTATGTTTGCAGAGTCTGTGTCAGTTCAAATACAGAGATGTGAGAATATGGAATTCTGCCATCCAAACCCAAACAGCATTTGTCAACACAAATTGCAATGCTCTGTATTGTAGCATTTTCATAAAGGGTGGGGAGAGTGAAGAAACAAGGGGCCCATGCTCAGACTGCTGGGAAATCTCAAAGAACCGGCTATAGCTACAGACTCCAGAAATAAATTCCTCTGCTTATCTTGATGCTGCTGTAAGTATGACCGGTCATGACATCTATCACCTTGAACCTTCTTAAAAATCACGTATCCCGAGTTTCATTTTCATTGTTGTTGAGCAAGATGATAGACACAGATGCAAAACTGCAGATCCAGGGGACCGTGCACACATACCCTGTGAGATAGACGAAACGGAACGTGGGACGGAGGATGATCAGAGGTCAGAGAAGAAACCTATCAATGACCAGAAGCCAGGACCAAGCTGAGAGATGTTTGATATGTGATTGAGTGATGAAAAGGGACCAATGAGACAAGCAGAGGAGGCACGCACAAATGGCCCTTTAATGGCATTTTTTATTGCAGTTAAAAGGATGGCAATGAAATGAACAGAGAAAGACGAATACAATCTTTTTCAGAACCAATTTATTGGAATAGTTTCTAGTGTTAAATGGCTACAAAGTCTGCTCTGGGATTCAATTCTTCACCTTGGGAAAGCATTTCAGATGACTTCCTAATTGCCTTGCTAACCTATTTTATAAGTTCTTACATCAAAGCAACCTGTATTATTTTCCATTTATTCTGCTAAATGACATTTCTGGCACTGAAGAACAATTTTAGTAAGTGGTCTGCTCTCAAAAATAGGCTCTATTTCTTTTTAATCATCTAAAGTGTTAGCAAAGAACAACAAAATAGAAGAAACGCAAAATGCCGTGATGATAGCATGAGTTTCTGCAAGCTATAAACAAAGACCAATTGCGTTGATGAGGCTGGTTGTTGTCTTCTGAGTAAGCAGGGTCACAGCAGGAGATTTATATTATATGCAGTGCACTTATCCTTTTCCTCTGATCCTATCCTTATCCTATGGCGTCTGTTGTTTATATATCTCTGCCTTCAGCCTTCTGAACCCTTTGATTTGGACCAAATATTCTAGACGACATCTCTTCTGAATTTCAGACCCAGAATCCTATCCACCTAGTTGATGGTCTCTGCAGTTGTCACAAAATCACCTTGGAATCGGGATAGCTAAATTGGATGTGCGGCTATCCCCACAGCCTGGAACTCAACCAAGGACACTATTCTCTATCAAAAGACACAGACCAGGCCAGGAACACAGAAAGCCACCTGTTAAAATTTCACTGTATTACACATGTACATCTATCTAAATGTTAGAAAATTATCTTGACATATTTATTTTCAATACATCTCTTCCTTTCGTTGCTCTAGTCTCATCAAACTTAAAACATGGGAGTCACATCCTGCCTTGAGATTAGCATTCCTACTGTGCCCTGCAGTGGCCTCTGTGACCTGCACACTGACATTCCTGGGCTTGTCTCACTGTGTGCCTCTTCATTTGGGCTGCACGAAGCTTTCAGATCTTCTAATACACATTCTCCCTTTGATTCGGGTACACTCATATGCTTTGCTCTTTTATAAGACTGCCTCTCCACTCTTTGTCTAGTTTATTTATGCCTGAGTCCAATGGTCCTTTTTCACATACTTGTGTTGTGTATGTGTTTGTGCATATGAGCATATGTGCATTTAGAGGTCAGAGGTCAATGTCAGAGGCATTACTCACCCTCAGTCTCTTTCAGGCTTTTTTTTTTTGAGAAAGATTTTCTCACTGATTGCATCTTGGGTAGCAAGCACTTTACTCACTGAGCAATCTGTCCAGCCCCTAAATGTCCCTTCCCAGAGAACTGTCTGACTAGATCTGGTCCCCATTGCATAGTACCTTTTAATTCCTTTTATAGCACTTACCAGAGCATACACAGTTTCCTTCAGGAACTGCATCATCTCTGCTTCATTTTCCACTGTGCCCCAGTGCCTAGGAGAATGTATGCACACAGAACTCATTTAACTCAATAAATAAATAAGTGATTTTCTCTGTCTCTGGGATTTGTTGGGTTGTGGCCTCCGCTGGTCTAGCACAGCACCTGGGAAAGTCCCAGTCAAAGGAGAGAAGGGCTGTCAGTCTGAAGAATCATAATTACATATTCCAAATTCTAGTGTCATGGGAATAATTATCTTTTGATGTTTAGAGGAAAGAACCATGATAAGATGAGAGTTTTGACTCATTAAAGATTGCAAAGTCATATAGTGTGGAACTGAATTAAACCAGATGTTTGACTCGGCCTTCTAGCTAAGTTCTGCTTTCTAACAGTTCAAAGGCCAATGGCTGATTCTTTGCTCTCACATTTTGGGCAGACAGAACTTTAGTGACTACCAGCGGCCCTCTACCTCTACCCTCCACTGGCTCCTTCTACCTCCTGCCTGCCTTCTCCTCCACTTATGCCCTTTGCCACCCATAGGCTCCAACTTGTTCCCGTGACTATTTTTGGCAAACCTTCCTTCGGTGCTCTGATATCTTACCAAATTTTTCCACCTTTCACCAAATTCAGATGTATAGACCCAAGAAATCAATTTCCGCGAACAATCATATTTTAGGAGTTAACTAAAATATAATTTCTTCTGTGGTAAAAGAGCAATTAAACTCCTGGAAATTTAGCTGAGCGTGGTAGTGCACACACCTTTAATCCTAGAACTGGAGAATTTAAGGCCAGCCGGGTCTACAGCAAATTCCAAGACAGCCAGGGCTACACAGAGAAACCCTGTCTTGAAAAAAATAAAAACAAAGAAACAAAAAAAATTGGAAAATTTAAAACTACCAATAATTAATTGCTCTAAAACATGTCCATGGTATATACATTGATTTTATAATTTTAGTAATCTTATTACTTAAATAATACATTTTACAGAGGAAGAGGCAGATTTATTAGTACAGTGACTAAGATCATCAGATAAGAAAGTATAAGACTCAACATCTTCTTTGCATACCCTAGTATTTGAAGGATTGTCTAACACTAGAATCAGACAACTCTCGGGGCTCAGCAGAAGTAAAAATTCAATTACTATGTAACAACTGGGGAAAGAGTACACCAAGTAAAATCATGTATCAACTATAACAGCAAGAGGAAGCACCCACAATGAGAACCAATTTAAACATTAGCCACTCTAGTTCTTTTTTTTTAATTTCAGTAAATTGCTGGTTTGTTATAGATAGTTTATATATTATAAAGGGAAAAATCATGAAAGACGGGGGCGGAGGTCACGAGTCATGTGACAGCCGCTTGACAGGAGGCTTGAGAGAGGTGACCGAACTGCGGGGACCCCCGGGCAGGTCGCCCCGGGCTGGAGAGCGCGTGGCTCTGCAGAGGCGTGCAGATTGATCCTGCGAGAGAAAGGGGTTCGTCATGGCGGACGATCTGAGGCGATTCCTGTACAAAAAGTTGCCAAGTGTTGAAGGACTCCATGCAATTGTTGTGTCAGATAGAGACGGGGTGCCTGTTATTAAAGTGGCCAACGACAATGCTCCAGAGCACGCCCTGAGGCCTGGCTTCTTATCCACCTTTGCCCTTGCAACAGACCAAGGCAGCAAACTCGGACTTTCAAAAAATAAAAGTATCATCTGCTACTACAATACCTACCAGGTGGTTCAGTTCAATCGTTTACCTCTGGTGGTGAGTTTCATAGCCAGCAGTAATGCCAACACAGGACTAATTGTCAGCCTAGAAAAGGAGCTGGCTCCGTTGTTTGAAGAACTGATAAAAGTTGTGGAAGTGTCTTAATCTAACAGTGGTTTTGATGTGTACCTTGTCTTCATTGCAACAACACTGTACCAGTCCAGCAATCCTTAGACCACAGTAATACCTTATCTATGTATTCCGAGGGCCGCTTTTCCACCTTACACTAAAGAAGAGCCTATAGCTATAATTTATAGACAGATCAATTGTTGTATTTATGTGTATAAGGTCTTTTCTTACTTAGTGAGATCTGGGAACACCACAAAAATGATTCATTCTGGTGCAGCTCCCATGGAGTTAGTGTGGATGCCTGACAGTGGGTGGTACTCTGTCCAGCGCATGGGGGTCAGAACGGTACACAGATGCTCTGGAGCCAGTTAGCCCTCCTGCCTCACAGTGCTCCCCACACCTGCTGCGTAGTGTTCTCGCTCCACAAGCCACAGAGACTCTTCCTGAGAATAATAGTGTCCTTCTTTGAGGACATATTTTTCTTAAGATTATATTTTATTTCCTGGTATAGAGTGTGAGGAAGATGAATGGCTTAGTGCAGATAATAAGTACAATCACTAACTTTGGTCTGTATGCGGTCTCAGTGTAGATAAGTATTACCGGTGGATTTGATGTTCTTCGAGGGTGCTGCTCTTCAGTGAGAACAAAAATCACTGCTCATGGTTTCTCTTCTACTTTCTGTAACAGTGCTTCCATGGTTGTGTTCTCTATACATTGAAAATGCCGTGTTACTGAATTCTGTTTCTAGTATCAGTATGTACATAAAATGACAGTATAGCCATTTTTCATACGCAAATATAAATAAAATAGTATTTAAAAAATCATGAAAGACATCACAGTCTCACTATTCAAAAGTGGCATTATACTGATTGCAAGTTAAAATTTTCTTAAAATTTCTACAAACTCCTGTATTTTATTCTCTATTCTTTTAACCCGTTTGGTAATTTTTCTTTTCCTGACTTAAAATTTGCTATAATGGCTATCCTATAGGGCCTCTGTGGCACTGGTGCACATGTGTTAGAGAGTTTGGGGTTTTTCTCCATCAGCCATTAAACTTACATTATTTTTATTCAATGAATCCTAAAGTTTGCTCCTTGGGATGTCTTCAAATTGAAAAGATTTTGAGGTTTTGTCAACCTGTCTTCTCTGTTTGCTCTGTGAGTTTGAGCATATATGAGATGACTCAATGTTTTTCAGTCCCTTGGGCAAACATGATATCAAACTATAGATGGCTTTCTCATGCCCTTCTCCTACCAGGATTTTTTTTTTTTGCAAGCATTCTGACCAAGCATTACAGTTCTCCCCAGCACTGTTTTCCTTGGTGATGGCAGATGCCTAGGGTGACAGGCTTGTCCTGTCGTCCCTCTGGCAGAGAAGTAGAATAGATACCAAAGCAATTTGGTATCAGGGTCAAATGATCAATGCTCTATCATTTATCTAAATTGTTCTATTATTAATAAAAACGTGGAAGTCAGATATTGGAGTACAAACCTGATAGATGAAGAGAGCAATGGGAGAGTGGCTAGCTGACCCTCTCTCTCCACTTTCCTAGATGGTAAAGACTGTGAATCTCTCCAAGTCCTTCCTTATCTCTCCCTGTGACTCTCTATCTGGGCCTTTCAAAATCTCTATGGCTAATTCCAGTAAGCTAGTCATGGACTCTGCACCTTGATTCAAGGTTTAACTTTAGTAACAGTCTCAGAATGTCACTGTACAATCAAATATTCTGCAACAATCTACTATGTGGTTTGTAATTACTGAACCTCATTTTAAGTCTAACAGAACAAAGCTGGGTATGGCAATCTATGCACCTGTAATGACAGCATTGTAGGTGTGAAGACCAGATTTCTGGGGCTTCCTGCATTCAATTTCAGAGGTTCTTTCAACATGATGGTTTCATTTATTTGGATTGATACCAAGTAATGAATTAGTGGATAGTTAGGAATGAATTTAAGCAAGGAGAGTAAAGAATTTCACCATGTAAATTGTAAAGTACAGATAAAAAACTTTAAGAAGTTACAAAAACATGAATAGAATTTGCATGTTCATGGATTAGAAGAATTAGTGTTAAAATGTATGTATCCAATGCCAAATTGTTAGCCCCCAAAATATACATAAAATTAACATTGTACAGACTGAGTGAGAAGGGTATATTAGGAATGTGTGTGTGTGTGTGTGTGTGTGAGAGAGAGAGAGAGAGAGAGAGAGAGAGAGAGAGACTTGAATATTCTTGCAGATTTGAATTCCGTTTTAATATTTATGTATATATATGTATATACTCATTTGTCAATAATTAACAAAAAAGAGGCCATGAGAAAGAGCAGAGTGATATATTGGCATTTCTGGGAGAAAAAAGGGAATGGGGAAATTATGTAATGACAGTCTCCAAAAAGGAAAAGAGGGTATAAGGGCTGGAAGACAGGGTAGCTTAACTATATCACTCTTTTTAAATTATTTTTTATTTAGGTTAGAAACAATCCTGTTTCACATGTCAATCCCAGCTCCCTCTCCCTCCCCTCCTCCCCTGCCCTCCCCACCAGGTCCCCCAGTCCTCCACCCAATCTCCATTCCGATCCCCAGGGAGGGTGAGACACTCCATGGTGGATCTCCAGTGACTGTCATTTCATCCAGGGCAGTCCCTAGGCGCTCCCCCAAGAGTCCAGGCTGAGAGAGCTTCCCATATTGTGGCATAGGGGGCACTCAAAATCTGTCTATTAGTATGCCGGGATAAATACTACCCAAGGCCCCATAGACTAACAAGACTTTTAGTAGTACCGTGACACCAGGTATACTAGCTTATGTTTGCTTCCTGCCATGTATGCCAGGGGTCATGTAGAAAAAGCAAATTGTGGGAGTTGTGCTGCAGCTTGGAAGATCCAGAGGATGGCCAGAGCTGAGGATAATGTGGAGACCTAGGATATACATATCGAGTGTGCTTCAGAGGAACCAACTCTCTTCTGATTCATCCCTTGTTGAGATCATTTGCATGTCTTACCCATTAGTTTTCAGTTAGCCTTTAAAAGGGGGGCAAATGAAACAGAGATATGTTGAAATGCACATTAAAGGTTAAGAGAGAAGAATTTGAATTTGCCATAGAGAAATCAATAAAGATCAGTAACAGGGAAAGCACAAGTCATTTTTTCACTGTTAGAGATTAATACAGATGAAAATATTCATGGAATACGTTATATGACCCTTTAAATGTAGATCATCAAAGTTGGAATATATAATAAAGGATCACATGCTGAGGTAAAAAAACCATGAAAGTACATTTTAGATTCTTTTCCAAAGACATAAATCAACTTAATTTTAAAAATCTTTTGAGTGCCCGAGTCATACTGGTCAGGACTATCTAATACTAGCAACGATTTCCTGTTTTGGTGGATTAAGAATTGATTATAAGCAACTACCTATCTCACAGGTGACACTTTGATCTCTAAGATGTGAGACAATAGGAGACACAACAAGAAAATCTGTGGAGGCATGGAAACTCCAAGTGAAGAGGACGGAGTGTGCACAAACCACATAAGAGTCATGGGTGTCTCAAACTACAAAGCTACAAGCTAGACAATTCTCATTAACTTATACCGATCTAACCAGCATGAAAAGTAAGGTCAAACACGTGCCTAGAATACGATGAACACTATTCCATATAATGAAATGTTTGAAGCCTGCCTTTAAGCCTCAGCACTTGAAATGCAGCTCTACAGTCAAGGAGGAATTTAATATTGTTAATATGCATAAATATGCATTGAAGGTATGCACCGAGCAGCATATGTTTCTAAAATCGGTATTGCTCATATGATCCCTCACAATTTATTCCCAGACATCTATTTGCATGCTTCAGCATATTCTTCCAAAATGGGAGATGATGTAGGCTTTTAAAACTAAAAATGTGCAAAGATGCATTTTTAACTTTTAATGACCTCTTTTAAAGCAATTATATGACTATTTTTTTCTTACTGGCTTGTAAAAATGATCACAGGTTTATGCCTAAGCATGATCTAATTATGCGTGGTCATGAAGAAACAGAACTGAACATTCACATAGTGTGGTTCTTCTAAAGACCTGCCATTACTTTTTGCCCCAGACTTTCACCTGTAGAAATTTGTAGCCACGGTAACAGAACACACAGAGAAGACTAAGTAGGTCACTCCTGCTTTGGAAAAATTTTGCTTGCTATTTCCCTAAGACCATGTACGCTTGTGTGTGTATGTGGAGCTACATTAGAAGTGTTTCTCAAGAGCATACATAGTTACAGAAAAAGACATATATATATATATATTCTTTTTTAATATGGGGATCACAGATTAAGCTATGGCATGGAGGAGACCAGAGAAGGAACTAAGGAATAACTAGCAGCCTAGTGAGATACCGTTGAGAGCCGAGGTTTTCCTTTAAAATGGAAACAACCGCTTCACCAGAGCTGCCAGCTTCACTGTGGTCAATCTGTTGAATGTCTATAACACGTTATGAAGTAGATGTGCACTTGTGGGACATTTAGTAGGTACAAGTATTTAAAGGGTGTGATTTCCTGTTATGGTACTACCCACATTAAGCATGGGTCTTCTTTCTTCGGGTAAAATTTTCTAGGAACACTCTTAGAGACACACCTGAGATAATGACATCTCCATACATAAGTGTTCTGCTCCATAAGGCTTCTGCAGTCATAGATCCCATGAAACCAAATTGGAAGCTCACCACACAGAGAACAGAATTTTATAAAGTTTAGTAATACTGAAGAGGCAAATTTTGGAGTCAATGCCTATATACACCCTACAGTTTCCCAGGGGTTGCAGTCTTGCCCTTAACCTGTTAAATTACAGCAAACTTCTTATTGTGGGTAACTATGATCAATCATCATATGTGCTTCTCCAACAAATGGCATGTATCTGGTTTTTAAAAAAATAATGTTTTTAAAAATACAGGGCTAAGAACTTGATCAGGCTCTTCATACTGGGTTGCCTTGTCCAGCCTTAATAGAAAGTGAGATGTTTAGTCTTACTGCAACTTGATATGCCATGTTTTGTTGATATCCATGGGAGGCCTGCCATTTTCTGAATAGAAATAGAGTAGTGGCATCCGGAGGTGCTGCCAAACTGGAGTACTACTCAGCAGAAAAAAAAATGAAATCTTGAAATTTGCAGGCAAATGGATAGCACTAGAAGAAACCTTCCTGAGTGAGGTAACCTAGTCACAAAAAGACAAACATGGACCCTCATCCAGTGGCTGATGGAAGCAGAGGCAGACACCCACAGCTAAAATCCGAAGTCCTGGATCCCAGCTGCAAAGAGGAATGATGAGCAAAGGAATCAAGATCAGGCTGGTGAAATCCACAGAGGCAGCTGACCTAAATAAGGGGGAACACTTGGACACCAGACTGATGA